TTGTGTAGCAGTGACTTTAAGAAGTGGATAGCAGTTAGAAGATTCAAAAGGTAAAAGTGGAGAAAATGAGAAAGTTAAGTAGTAGATCCACTCGACAAGGAAGATAATGATAATGTGGATAACTAGAGAGACGAGGAGCCCAAATATGTTGCCCCACCACCTTATAAAACACCTTTGCCTTTTCCACAAAGATTTGTTAAGGCTAAACTGGACAAAAAATTCGGAAAACTTTTGGATGTTCTTCAAAAGTTATACACTAATATTCCTTTTGTTGATACTTTGAAAGAAAAGCTTTCATATGCAAAATTTTTGAAGGAGTTGTTGTATAATAAAAGGAAGATTGATGATTTTGAAACTGTTACTTTTACTAAGGAGTGTAGTGCTTTACTTCGAAATAAAATGCCTCCTAAGCTTGATGATCCAACTAGCTTCTTTGTTCCTTGTGTTATTGGTGATTTGAACTTTAACAATGCTTTGTGTGATTTAGGGGCAGCTGTAAGTGTGATGCCCCTATCAATTTTTAAGAAACTTGATTTAGGTGAGTGCTCCCTACCAATATAACTCTGCAACTAGCGGACTGTTCTGTTATTTGTCCAGAAGGTGTAGTGGAAGATGTACCTATCAAGGTAGGTAAGTTTTTCATTCCAATTGATTTTGTAGTTGTCAAAATGGAAGAGGATCCTAGAATTCCTATCATTCTTAGGAGGACTTTCCTTGCTATTACGGATGCTGAGATTTTTGTCAAAAAGGGCAAATTTTCTTTTAGTGTTGGGAATGAAAGTATTGAATTTGATTTGTCTAAAGCTACTAAACAACCTTTTCTTGAGAATTCTTGTTACAGGATTGATGTAGCTGACACCTTGGTGGGAGAAAATAAGTTCATATCCAATTCCAACGATCCACCAGAGATATGTCAGTTGAATGATGACAATGTATCTCATGAGGGTAGGAAAGTAGCAACATCTTTTCCATTAAATAGAACACTTCCAAGGATCATGCACCGCAAAGATAGAGAGGAAAAGTTGAAGGTCATTAATGATCTCTCACCTTCAAAGGAATAGTTTGAAGAGTTTGAATCTAAAACACATGTTTCTGCTAAGAGATTGAAATTAGAAATGAAAAGATCAAAGCCAACAAGGTTGGGAAGACAATTTTGAAAGGAGTGGATTGCATTCTCTCTGACATTGCTCCTGCTCCAGATTAATTCGACAGGGGTTAAGGCCTTGGATGAATCCGTTTCGCACGTCCCTATCGTCAAGGTAGTCAACTTGGAGAGTTTCTTAAATGAAACGGCGGTGGAAATCAGAAAGGCTCTCATTTTGACCTTGTTTGACTGAGGACAGGTCGATAGACATTCTCGTGATCTGCTTGATAGGAAAGAAATGTGTGGCTAGTTTGATGGACAGATCTTCGAAGCTTGTTATACTTCCCTCTGACAACTGTCCAAACCACCGTTGTGCTTGTCCCGTGAGATAACAGTGAAGAGCCTTAGCCATGAAGTCAAGTGATGCGTTTGTGATTCTCATGACTTGGATGTATCCATGTAGGAATTGTTGTGGATTAGAGTCTCTGGAGTACTTTACGAAATGCTTGGGGAAATCGAAGTCCTGAGGTTTTGGGCAATCACGAATCCTTGGTATAAATGGGCTTTTGTCCACAATCATTCCAATCATTCGCTTCATGGACTCACGAATGGAGGTGTTTTGGTTGCCATATTCTCCCTGATGTCGAAAGGTATAGGGTTCTTCTCGCGACTGACAATTTTCATAACGGTAACGCTCCTCGTGAGGGTAACCTGTATCTCGAGGTGGCACGCAATACGTGTCATTGTTATCGCGGTAGGATTTTTTAGGGGAAACTCTGGCACCTAACCGAGAGTGTATGTTACCTCTTGGTGGGGGGTTCTAGTCCTTTTTAGATTCGAACTTGACGCTGGGTGAACCTTGGCGATGCTGGTTGCGAGATTTCTTCTTACGCCGATATTCCTTGGCAAAGTCCTCAAGCGCCAATTCGAATGCCGGATACGCTCTCCCAAACGAGTCCCAGAAGGCTGTGGTGTGAGCAGTGGAGAATTCTTCGTGGGAGATCTCACGGTTGGGGATTTCCCTGTAATCCTCTTTGCCTTCTTCACCTGGAACTTTGCGTTTGCCGTTTTTCTTCTCGAGCAAAGCCAACGTCCTACGTGCCTCCTTCTCATTGATTATATCTTTCAACTCCTGGTCCGTTGGATCAGGTAGACCAAGCAAGCAACAGCGTCGGTATTCTTCCAAGATGTATTTTTTCTTCCTTTGATTGGAAGCATTGTCATCTTGCAACTTCTTGAGTTCTGTTTCGATTTCGGTCAACCGTTCTTCATCGTGAAGATTGTTCACCTTAGTGTTCGGGTTTCTCCACACGTTCTCCAGCAGAGTTGGTTGGCTGAACGGGAGTTTTCTCTTTCCTCAACTGGCGGCTACCCCTCTTTCGCGGAAAAAACGTCGTTCCTATCCAAAGCTTTGCCCTCATCGTCAATCATACCTAATAGATTTTTGGTTAGCCAACTTTACCCTAATGTTTGAAATTTTTGCCAATTTCATCCAATCGACCCATTTTCCATCCAAATTAACGGATCTCTGTTAGTTTTTTAATAAAATAATAAATTTAAATACAAAAACACCCCAGTAGTTTTTAAAAATTTTAAAAATAACCTTTAAAATATATAAAAATAACAAAATAGTCCCTTTCACTTTTTTATTTCATTTTTCTCTATTTTGTTCCATTTCTCTCAACTACTTTTAATGACCATAAAAGTATATTATATGAGTTTTAAAAAATATTTATTTATTTTCAAACTCTACCGTAAAAATTAATCTTTGTATAGTTGTAACACATGATTGTATTTATATAAGCATGTTAATCTTTTTAATAATATAGTTTAGCAATAAAGACACTATGTGTTAGATTTATTTTATTCTTCCTAACATAAAAATTAAAAACATTTAATTGAAACTAATATTCCAAATAAAAATAAAATATTAGCTCAAATAAAAAATAATATATTAGTATAGTTTAGTGTGTTACAATTTAACCAGAGAGACTACATGGCATAATATAATTTATAAAAAAAATATTTATACTTACCAATGCGTGGATTTAACATTTTGTAATAATTATTTGAGATATTAATATATCTTACTATAGAGGAAGTCTTACTAGTTTATTCTATATGATTTTAGTTTAAAATAAATGAATGGAGGTAACAATATAGTAATAAGTTGTTGTGATAGAAAATAGGTTTTAGATTCAAGAAGGAAAACTTATGTTTTGAGGATTTTTTTAAGGTTTTAATTATTTTATATTTTAGTTATTTTTATGAATTATATTAATGCAAGTTATAGTCTCTTGAGTTAAATTGTAATACACTAAAATATATTAGTATTTTTTTATTTGTGCTAATATTTTATTTTTATGTGGAATATTAGTTTCATTTAAATGTTTTTAATTTTTATGTTAGGAAGAATAAAATAAATCAGAAAAATAGTGTCTTAATTATTTTATATTTTAGTTATTTTTTTCTATGAATTATATTAATGCAAGTTATAGTCTCTTGAGTGAAATAGTAATACACTAAAATATATTAATTTTTTTTATTTGAGCTAATATTTTATTTTTATTTGGAATATTAGTTTCATTTAAATGTTTCTAATCTTTATGTTAGGAAGAATAAAATAAATCAGAAAAATAGTGTATGTATTGCTAAACTATATTATTAAAAAAATTAACATACTTATATAAATACAATCATGGGTTACAACTATACAAAGATTAATTTTTATAGTAGAGTTTGAAAATAAATAAATATTTTTTTAAAACTCATATAATAGACTTTTATGGTCATCAAAAGTAGTAAAGTGAAATTGAACACGATAGAGAAAAATAAAATAAAAGAGTGAAAATGGACTGTTTTGTTATTTTTATAAATTTTAGGGATTATTTTTAAAATTTTTAAAAATTACCGGGGTGTTTTTGTAATTAAATTTATTATTTTATTAAAAAACTAACGGAGATCCGTTAATTTAAACGAAAAATGGGTCGATTGGACGAAATTAGTAAAAATTTCAAACATTAGGGTAAAGTTGGCTAACCGAAAATGTATTGGGTATAATTGACGACGAGGGCAAAACTTTAGGTAGGAACGACATTTTTTCCCCTCTTTCGCCTTTGCTGCTCCTGGAATTTCGCCAGGGTTTCATTATTATCGGGGCTGGGTTGCCTTCCTGTCAACGTTGTGCTGGATTGGGATTTGCCAATTACGACCATCTTTTTTGGAGAAGATCCCTACTTTGCAACGGCGGCGAGAGGTTGAGAAAACTTCGGAAGCTTGAGAAAGCTTGTGACACAAACCCTAATTTCGGGTCCCACTGGACATGCCACTTGACAAAGCCTGGAATTGTGATTCCGATCTAACAGTAGAACTCCAATTAGAGTTTCCTGCAACACAGAGTCTCGGGGGTCTCCCAAGGGTAGACACTCCGATGTTTAAGTCAGAAAATAGGGTTATGTAATAATGTGTGTATGAGTATTGGAGCTAGAGATAGCGTACCTCAATTGTGGTATGATCAACCCTATTTATAGGCATGGAGCTACCTTGAAGGATTTCTGAATCCTATTAGGTTTCTTGTTATTGAACCGCCTTAATCAGAGTCGATTGGACTTATAATTGGCTGGTGGGCCGATCCGATATTGATGGTGAATATGGACTCGTCAACAAGATTTTTATTCAATTCTTGATTATTTTATTTTTTTTAAAACCTATGTAGGAGTTTCATATATGTCTATTTCTGAATATAATACTCCCCTATCTCTATAATAATTAGATATAATAGTCTTATCTCCAAAAGTTTCTTTTTACAAAAATATGTAAACGATTCATGTTTAGATCCTCCGTTAACATTTTCATTTTTTTTTTGTCCAAACGTTAATATCTTAATTATGTCGGCTTCTCCATACAGCGTACGTGTGTTCTTACTTCAACCCTACTTCTAGAAGAGAACAAATATTAGTTGGGGAGTTGTGGGTCCTTTTGGATTTGTCAGTCAATTATTACGGCAAAATCCGGTGTCGTTAACAGCTCCATTGTCCATACCTTCGTCCATACTCCATTACCATTTGTGAATCAACAATAAAAGATCCTATTCACCGGAGGTAAAACACGCCGGCGATCTCATGGCCTCCACAGTCACAGTCTTGAAGCAGAGCTCCGTCTCACCTCCACCGTCGTCCTCCCCCACAGAAATGTCACTTCCCCTGACATTTCTCGATATGATTTGGTTGCATTTCTTGCCTATCCAACGACTTATGTTTTACGAAATTCCAAACCTTTCCACAGCCCATTTCATCGACCATATTATTCCCAAACTCGAGACTTCTCTGTCAATCACCCTCCAAAACTATCTTCCTTTAGCAGGGAATCTCATCATTCCTTCGGGTTCGGGTTCAAATCCGAGGATGCCCGAGATTCGTTACCTTCAAGGAGATTCGGTGTCGGTTACCTTCTCCGAGTGTAACGAGGTTGATTGTTTCAGTCACCTAACAGCAGATGTAGCGAGAAATTGCCGTGAATTTCACTCCTTAGTTCCAGAGCTATTTAAAACAGTTTTGATGGATGAGGTTGATTCTAGTTCGGATAGAGTTATTCCGGTGCTTGGTATTCAGGCGACTCTGTTTCCGGATTCGGGGATCTCCATCGGGATTTCGAACCACCATTCGGTCGGAGATGCTCGCACAATATTTCAATTTATGAAGACATGGGCTAATTTGAGCTTCCAACTCCACGGAGACAGAGACTCTGTTTCTGCAAAATCAATTGTAAGTGAAAATCCACCAATTTTCGATCGGAATTTAATTCATGACTCAAAGGGTCTAGCCTCAGTTTTCTTTCAACGTTGGAATGGCATTATTGAGTTCGTGAAGACCAGCAATTCATTCTCTGTGGACGACTTTCTGAACAAGATTAACGTTAATGTCCGAAAAACATTTGTCATAACCCGAAAAGACATCGAAAAACTCAAGAGCTTAGCCATAAAAAATGGCGAAAGGTTACTTCATTTGTCATCATTCACGGTTGTCTGTGCGTACGTTTGGACATGTCTGGTGAAGTCTCGAGCTCCGAGCGGGGAAGATGTTAGTGAACAAGACCCGGAGCTTTTTTCCTTTTACGCGGACTGCCGGGGAAGAATGAATCCACGGTTGCCGGAAACTTATTTTGGAAATTGTTTGACTCACTGTTTGACAACATCGGAGTACGGAAAACTCGTCGGAGAAGAAGGGTTCCAAACTGCGGGAGAATTGATCGGAAAAACCATTCATGGACGGTTGAAGAGCAGCGAGACGATATTCAGTGGGGCCGAGAAATGGATGGAAGGCCCAACAAGTGCCAATTTGGGGAGGGATGTTGGGGTGGCGGGCTCACCGAAGTTCAGCTATTACAGTATGGACTTTGGGTGGGGAAAACCCAAGTCATTTGAGTTTGTTTCGATTGATCTCACTGGGGCTATTTCTCTTAGTGGCTCCAGAGAATCGGATGGAAGTGTTGAAGTTGGTATCTCAATTCCTAAACCCAAAATGGAAGCTTTTAGCACTATTTTCAGGGAGGGACTTGAAGCTCTGTAAATCGTAGTACTCCGTCCATTCTGAAATTATTGTTCAGTTTAAATTTTTCAATTTTAGTTCAAAACATACTAAAACTGAAATTCAAAACTGGACAATGATTTTTAGACAAATGGGGTAATAGGTATTTCTGTTTGTCTTTCAATATTCAACCTATGCTTGTGAGAAATGGTTCCTTGTTCTATCAGAAATAGTTATTGGGTTTAAATTTTTTTACTCCCTCCGTCCCATAATTATTGTCCAGTTTGGGTTTCTATTTTTAGTTCAAATTGTACTAAAAGTGAAATCTCAAACTGGACAATAATTATGGGACAGAGGGAGTACTATTTAGGTATACATTGTATTAAACAAAATTTTAAACAGACCATTTATTTTAAAACTGAAGATATGCATTGTTTAGTTGATCAACGTGAATTTGTTCATTTTTTCTCAAAAAAGAAAAGAAAGAAAACGATCTCTTTTTCTTATTTTTGTGCTTTGGTTAAGAAAACATAACCATGAAACTCACCATAAACGAATGCCAGGGCTATGTCAAAGGGGGATCAATGCAATTAAGCTGTTTGTTACCTGGCTTAACGCTAATAGTCTACTTTTGTGGTTATCGGCATCAGGATTCAGGATCAACAGAATGTCTCCTTGTAAAAATTTATCAAAAGTAGAAGCAAAAAAGATCATAATGACTTGAAGACTATACATTATGTTTAAATTTTCGGCATTTTCTTCAGCCACTTCTTCAAGTAGAAATTCAACCGAATGCAATACTTAGATGGTAAGAGTGAACAATTATAACCACAATGTTCAAATTTACACCGAAGAAGCTGGAAAAAAAGAGTTAATAACATGATTAAAGAAAGTTTGTATATTATAGGAGTAAGTAAAATTTTGTTATAGTCAGAACAAGCAGAGGTCCAACTTTTGAAATACTCCCTTCGTCCCAAAATTATTGTCCAGTTTAAAATTTCACTTTTAGTACAATTTGAACTAGAAATGGAAACCCAAACTGGACAATAATTATGGAACGGAGGGAGTACTTAAACTGAAACACCTGAAATTGGTGCCCTGCCCTCCAGAAGTTGTCAATCAATATTAATACCTTTGACTACTGTAATTACAAAGTGTGTTTCAAAAAGCAAAATGCTTATCTATACATTTGACAGTCTACATAATTATTCTAGAGGGATTACCACCATAAGTTCTCCAAAAGGGTTAGCATCAATCAGAAGTTGAACGACTTCTTTCATTGTTGGGCGTAAAGCTTTATTGCTGTTTGTGCAATGCATTGAAAGTCGAAGCACCTTAACCATTCCCACTTCAAATGAATCCGAGATCCGGTGATCCAAAACCTCAAATGCTGTTTCTTTGTTCTCTACCTTATTCAATATCCAATGGATTATGTTGTTGCCTTCTCCGAATAGGTCTTCTTCCACTGGTTTTCTTCCGGTTACAAGCTCCATTAACACAACCCCAAAGCTGTAAACATCGGATTTCGTGGACGCCTTAAAAGTATGTGTGTACTCTGTTACAATGCATCAATTGAGCATAAAAGATATGTAAAAGTTATATACATATCTAAACAAATGTTACAAATGTTACATCATTCGAGAAATTGGTTGTCACATGATAAGTACTTAAGTTGTCATGTTTAAAACTTTAAATGCAATTGTATCTACCTGGGTCCAAGTAGCGAAAAATTCCAGCAACAGCCGTGGTTATGGAGTCTTTTCCACTTATTTCTTCCAAAATTTTTGCGAGTCCGAAATCTGCAACTTTTGGTTGATATTCGTTGTCCAGCAAGATATTGCTGGATTTGATATCGCGACGAATAATTGGAGTTGGATGATGATGGTGCAGGTGAGTTAAACCCTGCGCGGCTCCTAGTGCAATCTGATAACGAATAGGCCAATTCAGAAGGACATTTCCTCCGTGAAGTGCTTTCCAGAGGTTACCATTTGGCATGTACTCATAAACTAGCAGATTTCCTGCTTCTGCACTGGAGAATTAGCAGTACAATTTCACAATGTTTCTGTGCCTTTTTTTTTTATAACACATTACATTATAATTTCTGTTTCCATCACACAAAGTGGGGTGAGACTCCCACAATAGCATACAAAGTGTGCCTAATGCACAAATTATATCTGATCACCAGAAAGGAGAGTAGTTCGAAACTGGGGGATGGAAAGTGTAGGAAAGGGGGTTCGAACCCTGTACCTTCTCTGGCCAAACACAAGAAGAACTTTGTTGGTGGTCACTAGGACAACACCTAGTGGTTATGTTTCTGTGCCTTATTCCCCCTAATGTATCCACTTCAATTTTCAATTCCTTATCCAAAATTGATTGATCTTTAGGTTGACAAACTCTAACTTTTCGACTCTGTAGCTTTTTCACTGCTATTGTAATTCCATTGCTCAACTCAACTTTATACACTGTTCCAAAACCTCCTCGGCCCACTATATTCCTTTTAATCATGGACAAAATTATCTCATGATGATCGAAGCTTTTTATATCATCCAGAAAAAAGAGGAGAATAATGTGTCGTTGTAGTCAGTTTCTGGTTTATCTTTTTTCAACCAGTGTTTTAGAAACAACAAAAGTCCAGCTAAAACAATTGCCAGGGGCAGTAGAATCGACAACAGAAAGGAGAATGTTTTACGGTGGTGAGTTTGTGGACAAAGAGGGAATTCACTTGTTAGATTGGTGGGAATACACAGGTTGGGGTAACCAGAGAAATTTGTAAGCTGATTTTCCAACACAAATGATAGGGGTATAGGACCAGAGAGCATATTATTGGAAAATTTCAAGGAATTTGGCAATAGGTTAGAGAAATTTTTTGGGATGCTCCCAGTTAAAATGTTACTAAACAAGTGGAAAAGAATGAGTGACCTGAGTAAAGATAATGACTTGGGGAATGGAAGAATTGAACTTGTTATGTTGCAGGAGAAGGAAGTTAAGATTTCCAAGGTGACCAATTTCAGGGGGGATTGGACCAGAAAGAAGGTTGTTGCTGAGATCAATCTTTTCAAGACTGATAGCTTGCGAAATTTCTGAAGGCAAAAGTCCAGAAATTCTGTTGTTCTGCATGAAAAGGTTGGATAAATTCTATGCATTTTCAATTGTTTGGGGAAATGAACCATTCGGGTGATTATTACTCAGGTCAATGATTAAAACATGGGGAAGAGCTAGAAGCCCTTCTGGGATGCTTCCTTCCAATTGATTGTGATTGACTCTGAAGCACAAAAGGGACATGCAATTTGCATAACTTTTGGGAATCTGCCCACTAAACTTATTTTGAACTACAAGGAAGTACAGTAATTTACCTCCGTTGCACACATATGGTGGCAGTTCTCCAGAAAGCTCGTTTTCGGACAGATCCAACTCTACAAGAGCTGAAAATCTTTCAATATTTTCGGGAATTTTTCCTGTAAAAAGATTCATATAAAGGGATAACATTGTAAAAGTGGTGGAGTTTCCAAGTACAGAAGAAATCTACCCACTTATATTGTTTTTATAAAGTTGCAGGACTGAGAGCTTGGGAAGTCGAAAAACTGACTCCGGAACCTTCGTTAATTTGTTAACAGAAATGTCTATTTCTGTCAGTTCAGTCATGTTACTGAACTCCTCAGGTATTTCACCCTCAATGTGATTGTAGTAGAGATTAAGTGCTTGCAAAAATTTCAGCTGTCCAAGCTCAGGGGGAAAATGACCTACTATGGAATTCCTAATCAACTCCAGAGTAAACAGGGAAGTCATGTTGCCTATAAATCCTGGAATTTCGCCATGTACATTATATTCATTCAAGATCATGATCCTTAGCTTTGTCACCCTGCACATGCACTTTGGCAATTCCCATAAATCGAACCCTCGATTTTCATTAAAGCTTATAATCTCAAGATTTGTGAGGTTTTTGAGCGACAGGGGAAACTTCCCCTGGAAAGGGTTGTTTGAAAAGTCTATAAACCGGAGGGATTACAATGGTGATAAATCAGGCAAAGTCCCGATGAGTTGAGCATACTTGATGTCGAGAATTTCTAAAAGAGAAATGGTGATTCCAACAGGGAAGCTGCCATTGAGATTATTATTGCCGATTCGCAGAATTTTCAATTCAGGCAAATATGACAAACATCCTTAGGGAACTTGCCAGAGAGTGACCATCCAGAGATATCTTTCATCTCAATGTTTCCTTGAATGTTACAACCAACTCCTTGTAACTGCAAAAGTCATTGGTTTCCTTGGCAACTTCCCAGTTAGACAACATCTCCCCTGATAAAGACTTCTTCAGTTGTGCAAAGAACCCTGCCTGGTTTGCAGCTGAAATAAGAGTACACCAACATAACATGAGACCTATTTGTAGAAAAGTGCAAACAAATTGGTTATTTTTAGCCAACAGGAGCCGACGTTCTGTTATGGATACAGTGAAAGGGTTGGTTATATTTAATGGAAGCCGAATCTCAGTGCGTAAGTATATTCTGCATCATATTCTTTCATGCTCTTGATCTCAGGATCAGCCGATGGCTTTGCCAATATGATACCAGCTCCTCCCCCTTCATCGCGACGAGAGCCTTCGACGTATAACATCCAGGCTTGAGGATTAACCTTAACGCGGGTAGTGGGTGATTCTTAGGTGCTGCAACTTCTGGAATATTAGCAGTTCGAGGTATCTCTACAATAAAATCTGCGAAAGCTTGACCTTTGATTGTCGTTCTTGGTTTGTACTCGATATGGTGTTTTCCAAACTCGACTGCCCACTTCATCATTCTGTCGGAAGCTTCTGGCTTGAGAAGGACTCGCTGAATGGGCTGTTCTGTTTACACTCTTATCGGATGTGCTTGGAATTATGGGCGCAAGCGTCGAGCAGCCAGAACTAAGCTCAAGATAAGTTTTTCCATGGGTGTGTATCGTGTCTCTGCCCCTTGCAACACTTTACTGATGAAGTAAACAGGGATCTCCTTGCCATCCCTGTTTTGGACGAGGACGGCTGATATGACTTTTTCTCGAGGGCAAGGTACACATGTAGGGTTTCTCCCGGTTCTGGTTTGGCTAATATATGTAGCTGTTTGAGATGCTCCTTTAGCTCCTGGAAGGCTTTTTGACACTCCTCGTTCCACTCAAACTTCTTGCCTTTGCGGAGCGTGTGAAAGAGTACAGAGGCTTCGTTCTGCGGCTCAAGAAAGGAACCTATTTAAGGCAGCTAAGGATCCTGTGAGTTTCTGGACTTCTTTGACATTCTTTGGGGCTTCCATGGTAAGG